GTTATAATATAAATCCCAAAGAGAATTTATCAAGTTTGATAAGAAGATTAAAAGGCGAAAGAAATCCTAAGGGATCAAAAGTTCTAGCGACAAAGGAAAGCAATTGCCTCTTGGTACAGACAGAATCAATGGGAGCTATTTTAAAAATAAACTTATCTATTGAGGGGTTCCATTTTAAATCTAAAATCTTTAAAATATCAGATTCAAAATCTTTAACTTGGGTTAGTCTAAAACTTTCTGGAATAGAACATAACAAATGAGATGAATTTGACATCAATTTTACGATTTGAAAACCACCAAAGGAAAACAAGGCAACAATTTGCAAATAAGTCTTTGTAGCAGATTGTAAATCCGGAAAACTAGTTATTAAATCATCCATATACATATCAGTTTTAATGGGCATGACAACATCAGGATAGTTACCAACTTCATCGTCTATTAATTTTTTAATAACTCTTAGGCTTAAATACGGGGACGATTTAACGCCAAATGAGACTGTGTGGAGTTGATACACTGCAATCGGATCTTGTGTATTAAAACGCCAAAGGATTCTTTGACACTGTCGATGTTCTGGAATAATTTCAATTTGTCTATACATTTGTTTAATATCTGAGGTTCCTGCTATAGGAAATAGTCTAAAATTTAATAGGATGCTAACAGCATTATTTTGGAGTTTGCGACCAGTGTATAGAACGTCATTTAAGGAAATGTTTTTATCAGTTTTCATACTGGCATCAAATACAATACGGCAGGGAGTTGAAACACTATCAGGTTTAAAAATACAGTAGTGTGGTATATAAAACGAAGAAACAGTTTGCAAATTAGAAGGGACTAGTGACATATGTCATTAATTAATATAATCTTGCAAAATATCAGAATAGGTTTTTCTAAGATTAGGTAATCTGCTTAATTTTCTTTCGAGGGGAAGTAAGCTAGACTTAGAAAACGAATAAGAATCACCCAACTCTTCCGGGTCGGATTTAAAGGGTAGTGCTACAGAATATCGACCAGATGAACTTCGGCTAACATTATTAAGGAATATTTTCTCGCAAATGAGATCGTCATCATTTGGCAATGATTGAGAAAAATCATCTAATGGAAACATTTTCTCTACTAATGAATCTAAAGTGAAAGCTACATCTACAAAGGTATGAAAATTATATTCAGTGGGTAGATTTTGTATCGGCTGTAACAACATAACCAAAGGTAGTTTTAATGGCAGTTGGGATCCGTCTTTTCCAGAAATTTTATTATTTCCTATCAAATCGGCGAAAATAGCCGCACCTAAAATCTCATTTATAGGACCGGATATATGAAAAGAGGGATTAGCTAATGGCAAATTTTTCAAATAATCCAAATTACTAAGTTCAATAGGAAATTCTGGCAACGGATTTGTAATCTTGTCAACAAGTAACACTTCTATTAGCATTTTTAAATTGGGATCGATTTGGGAAAATAACATGAGATTGGTTTTACCTTTTAGAGTATTTATAGTTCCCCCTACACCAAGTACCTTTGAATTAAATTTATGAAAATTTAATCCTAATTTTTAACAACAATATAAAGTAAGTAAATTGGGCATAGACCCACTATCAAGTAAAAATCTAAATTTGTCTATTTTATTCCATTTGTTTTTAACATTGGCAACTATGGTACTTAAAACTACAAATTGGGATTTATTATAGAGTATTAAATTGGGTTGTATTGCATATATTTTGAGAACTGTCCGGTAGAATGGACTGTATCATGGTCAAAATTCATTCAGAATATTTCAAAAAATTGCGTAAGTTCGAAAAAATGATAAACTTTGAAAGGCTTTAGCTCGGTAAATTCTGATTCAGATGAGGATGTTGAAACTGAAGCTCAGGCTGAAATAGAAGAAATGGTAGGGGACGGTCAAGATAATATAATCATTTCTAATGATCCAGGAGGCTTATGGCCTAAACTAATAACGAGTGTGATTGCAAGAATGTTGAAAGATTACAATTATCCTATTGAAAATGGCAGAAGATTTTCGAATAGACATTTTGTGAGGCAACTCTCCAACGAGGAGCAAACAAAAAGAGAATAGCTGATTTATTCAAAATCAAAAAACTCTATATTTTGTTTTAGTAGTGAAACTTTCGGAAAAAAACATAGTAAATTCTTTTAATGATTCGAACGAATTTTCGGACTGGCGACATTTATCTTTGGCTCTAAAATGACATGAAACATCACATAATACTTATATACAAACTTGAGTAAATCTGATTAAAATTATTATGATTTTCTTGCTTGCTTATACTTTTTGTGAATTTTGAGATAAAACTGAACCCAAGTCATTTTGTTCTTTAATACTATCCAGAATATGGTTATCAGTACTATATATGTATTCTTCTTCGACTCCTTTAATTATAATCTCTGGATTTTTTTGCATACGTTCTTCTATACTGTAATGATCATTCATTTCATTGTTTACCTTTTGTTTTATTTAGTTTGGCTATTACTGCAATTTATATGTACTGCACCATCCTTAACTTCCCTTATATTTTCAATACCTATTGCTAGTGTCTTTGGATCAATAATTTCATTAATATCATTTTTCGTTTTGCTACTTTCTTGTTTCTCCTTTGGCTTCACTACTAAAATTTCGTTTCCACTGATTTTCATTTCTTGTTGACTTGAATCAGATTTTTCACAAATAATTTCCTGTATTTTTTTAAAATTCTTCTAATAACTTACTGTTTAATTGAGTTTCAAATTTTTCCTGCAATTTTTTTTACCTCCTCAATAATGTTTTTCTCAAAATTCTTAATTAAATCGCCTTTGCGGCAATCTTCACAATGAAATATTAGGGTTATTTTGTGTATAATCATGCATCTAGTGTCAGACGCATTTAAATCGGAACACTCACCACAATAAAATTTCCTACAATAATCACAAGGAAATATTGGATTCTTGGCATCCTTTGTTAAACACTTTGTATTACACTTTACGCATTCCATTATTGCTACATAATAAGGATTCCCTTGAATTTAAAATTTATCTCCGCCCTGGTAACCAAAACAAATTCTGGCCGATTAAATTATTTATTTCGCCAAGTCCGACAAAAAAAAGGCGCATTACACAAGGATTTTACTAAGAGGTTTGAGGATCTCTTAAATTTACAAATTCCTCAATGGATAATAAATCCGTACAATATCATCGCAATGGAAGAAGCCAATGTGATAATGCAAGAAGCGTTATCACCATCAGAGCACAGTCGAGAAGCTTAAGCAGAGGTTCAAACAAGGCTATCAGAAGTTCAGGTTACAGCGCAACATTGAAACACAGTATCTTGTATTGTGGAACATTGCTGAAAAATACCTTATCACTTTTCCATAATCATACCTAGTCGAAAAAGGCTTCAGTGTGGTTACAAACATTTTGACAAAACAAAGAAACCGTTTGAAAATCAACGATCGCAGAGATTTAAGACTGCAACTCACCAATATTGAACCAATTGAACCAATATTGAACACTATTATTACAATTTTAAAAGAATTAGCTTCAATCAAAAGTAGACAAATTAATTTATTATAATTTCTTTGGTTAATTTTTCAATAAAAAAACACTGCTGCCGAATATCTAGTTGCTTTTTATAAAAAGAAAGTACCTACATATTTATAACATTTTATCTAACGAAATAAATTAGTTTTCAGTTACCTACTATTTACCAAAGTATCTACATATTTAAGATTTTTTCAAGTTCCTTCTGTTAATTTGTATGAAATTAATACGTTACTTTACTGAACTAAATCTATACTTGAGTATATTCAGTTAATTTAGTGTTAATCAGTTATCTCACAAGTTTTTGGGAACTAACAAAGTTTGATCTCTTTTGTTTAATTTTTTGATATTACTTGATATATATATTTATGGGTATTTTTCAATAAAAACCTTTTTTATCCTACACCAACAGAAAACTAAATTTTGACGTCCCTATGGATACGTCAAAACGCATCTTTTTTTGGCTAGCCCGGCAAAATAACTAGAAATGGCAAGCCAGTAAAATTTGCCGCTAGATGGTGCACCACTTAATTTTGACAGTTCCTTTCACAATTTAATATTAAATTATTTTTGTTGCATTTTTAATAAAGAATAGAAACTTGTTTATTCTGCTACAAGTTATGTGTTTAGGTACACATATTACACATACATGTGTGTGTTTCCGTCAAGTAGTTAACATATAAATAATTTCTGGCAATCTGGTGTCATTTTCTAAAACATTTGTCATTTTTGTGATTGGTACCAATGCTACTTTAAATTCAATTTTTTTCCTAAAGCCGAAATAAAATAAATTGGTTTATAATATGGAATCTTCTAGTGAAGGTGAAGATTTTAGTTATTGCACACCACCAAATATTAATAAAAAAGCAAAAAAAGTTGTTGATTTATTACCAAAGAACTAATCATTCCATTTTAGTGTAGGGTAAAGTTTTCTGTTGATTCAGGATAAAAAATAGTATGTAAACCACGACAGTAAAGTGGTTTTCCAGCCACTTTACGGCCTAAGTATACAATATACTATTAACCCAATTATTTAGTACAATTGTTTTATGTACTTTGATTTTAAATAAAAAAACATTAATTAAATTTGTTGCGAACATTTGTTTTTTAACTGCTAACCCTAACTAGGGGGCGCCAAAATAAGTAATGGTGCGCGGGCGGCTTCAGTCCTTGTGGGGGCCCTGACAGGGATGATAAAAACCATCATTCTTTACATAAGATATTTTATGCTATTTTTCATTCATAAAGCACTTTTGCAATATTAATACTCACATTTTTACAATTAATATTTAATTACATATTTTCTTTGAAAACCTGATTTAAATTCATTATAGGAATTTTTCTATTTTATTACGTATATGGCTATTATGAATCACGTCAGGCACATCAAAACATCACTCGTACTACATAAGCAATTATGGACATTAAAAGGCTCAAGTTTTTAAATGATTTACGAAGTAAACATTTCATACCTTCACATACAGGTTCAACTTGATCAGTCAAAAATGCTGGTGATAAAAGTGGAAGCTTGACTAAACCAAGCAAGTGTCCAATGTATTGTCTTCGCGCATCAGATTCATGTTGTATCCAACTCATCAGAGCTTGAAAAATGTGGTCTTCGCAGACGACATTGAGGTCATCACTGTTTAGCAAAGTTGACATTTGATCAACATTAAGTTGAAGAAATTCTTGATTTTTTATTACCTAAAACCAGAACGATATATTGAATATATTACGACTTAAAATAGTAACAAAACTTTAGCATTAACTTAAGTTAGCGACTAGTTAAGCAGAACCAAAACAATGGTTGACAGATAAATTAATATTGAAATAAATAGTTAATATAATATCAGAAAAGTTATCTTGCCTGCATAAAATGCTGACTAGTATAAGCGTTAGCTTCTTGTAGTAAACTAGTGCAAGCTTGATGCTCAGCAAACACTGCGATTCCCAAACAGTTGCTGGGATGCAATTGATGAGCTAAGAACCTAGAAAATAAATTATTTGAAAAAATATCTCTAAAAGTTTTTCAATTAAATAATAGTTGTCAGTTATAAATGTTTTACATTTTCTTTAAAATATTTTTATATTTTTTTATCCCAGCGAGTAGGACATTGAAGATGTTTGGTCTCGTTGCCAAAGGTAAACCTTCGGTTAGCATATCTGCGAAATGGTACAATAACTGCACTATCACTTATTTGTTCCATTTGATAATATTATGATGTACCAAAATTTGTTTTTTAGTTTGAAGTAGAACATGCAATTTGAGAAAAAATAGAGATCTTATATTCAGTAGGTACATTCATCATGTAAGAGTGGTGTAAGTCTACCCTTATGAAATATTATTTTTAGAATATAATTCTGAACTACGTTTAATGACATTGTTATATCCCCCACATGATTATACCATATCTTATTAGTGATCTAACTAATGACAGATATATTCTTACTAGCAACTTTTTGTTAAAAATGTTACGAATTAGTTTTCTTAGTTTTGTCGTTATATTATGAATTTGAGGGACTCATTTTAAATTTTTGTCAACAACTATTGCTACGTATTTTAATCATTTTCAATTTCCTTAATAAATAAAGTTGTTTCTTCAATAATTATTTGATTATATAATTTGACCTACTATAGTTTGGGACATACTGAGAATGCAGTATTGTCAGACATAGCCAATGTATTTCTAATGGGAGACCGGCACACTGTGTTGCCGTCTTTCCGATAGCTGTGACAAGGTCGGCCTAGCAGTAGTCAATATTATTAGAGTATTCTTGGTTGCATATATCGCTTGTCCAGAACAAGACTGGTCTAACTCAAAAAAGAGATTTTTCAGAAAAGCCGATTAAAGTTTCTTCTTTTCCTTCCTTTGATATCCGTTGCTTACGTTATACGATTGTTGAAATTTTGCACAAATCGTAACAATCATAAAACTCCTTTAGATTTACAAAAGTTTTTACCTCTCTCTTTACCATTATTATTTTTTATGAGTAATTTATGAGCAGAACTCTAAGATGTTCCTATGATTAAATATAACTTCAGTTATTATTGATACAAAAACGTAAAAACTCTATTATATGTCAATATCAATCTTAGTGTTAACGATTTTTTAAGACTACTTCCTATTCTTAGTCTTAGTGGTAACTACATCGTTCTTCACACTAGGTAGGCACTTGCGGATACAGCAAAGTGTCTTCATTATTTTATGAAAATCACAACTCATTTTAAAACAATAATAGCATGAAAATCAATAACAGTACGAAAGTCATGTAAAAACTAATAATTATTATACCTTGATACTACAAAAAGTTGAAAACACTACTGAGCAAGTTCGTTACCACTGTAAGAACTCAACAATAACATTGCTTAGCTAAACAAAAAAAAAAAAAAAATAATCTTATGAAAAAATTAAAATAATAAAATTACAGTGTTTGTGGGAAACCCTGGAATGTGGTCAGATCGCACCTTCTACACATTTTCATAAAACTCTTTGTAACACTGGGGCACGACAGCTACACCATTGCCTTCTTCCTGGAGAAGAAAAAGCAGTGTTTCTTTTTTTGATCATTGATGCTCGACTTTCTTGTATAGGCCTTAGAGAGTGGTTGAAGTAAAACTGAAACTGCAAGATTCGGATGAACTGCTTCGACGTTTCTTGTTCTGGTTCGCTATGTTGACAGATTTGAAATCTTGCTGAGAGAATGATGTTTTATATCGGAAAAATCCAGGCTCTTCTTTAAAGGTCTCAATCACAAAAATATCAGCGGTTGGTACCTGCTCACCCTCTTCATTGAATAAAGCTTCCTTTAGTCGGCTGTAAGCTTTTTTAAATCGATGATTTCAGAAAAATCTATTTGCTTGACATCGTAGGTTGGAGGTGTGTTCTTTGCGTGTGAAATAGATGGGTAAGGCTTTTCTGTATTTCTTTATAGCCCGTTCTATCACAAAGTGAACTGTGTCTCCCTCGTTTTGAGTGTGTCCGGTTACTAAGAATTTGTGGGCTATAAAGATTATATTTCTATGCTACCAGGACAAAAATAAATCGTTTTTTTTGCTGACCTCCGCAGTTATCGCTGTAAAATACGACATCGACTGGGGCATCGATTGTTTTGTTAAGGTTTTCGAGGTACAACCAGATGCAACTGCCAATTTCGTTGGTACCTCGTTTTGCTTGACCTTCATGCCACATTAAACAATACGTCTTCTTGGACTGTAGTTCGTGCATAGTGAAGTTATACACGTTCAATTTGGACACGTAATAAAAGGCTGATGATTCTCCTTGATGACAAGGCAGGGAAGCTTGTAGGTCAAAAACGGTCATAATTGTTTCTGATTCTTTATCTGCATCCTTTTCTCTTTAATGCTGTCGGTAATTATCTTCGAGCTGTGTTTTTTCAGATTCTTAGGCGTTCAGGCAGCCCAAACAAAAATTACATTGACCCCTTTTAGGGCTGTGAAAAGCAATGTTGAACTCTGTGTTGAATATGAATCGTACATGGAGTACTTAACGAATGGCCGCCCAACCTCTGTCTGGATCTCGGCGTAATCACGATGCAGATCTGCAATCGACTTTCCTCCTTCAATGTGCTCATTTTTACTATTCGATCGGCAGTAGTGGCTTTCGAGTCGATGTATGGAGTTGATGTGATTTCGGTATTGGGGGTTGATTTTAGAAAGGTAACTGTTCAAGAATGTTCTTTGCAGGGTTCGAAAATATCATATTTATATAAAAATCATATCACATGATATATATCCGATATATATCATTTTTTAAATTTTATTAAAAAACAGTATTGTTTCTTGCACAAACTATATTTTAAATTTTGACAAAAATCTATATTCTAAAAAACAAAACCGTTTATTCTAACTCAAATTAAAAAGAAAAAACAAAAATAATAAAATAAACGGATGATAACATTATTTTATTAACATTAATATTTTAACACAAACACATAATTAATTCTAAACAAAAAGACTTTTACCATTATTTTGTTAAATTGATATTGGTATATCCTCATCTGATGAATTATTAATATCAATAATGTTATTCCTATTAGTGGCAATAACTTCAGAATCTTCGGATATGGCTAGTTAACATGCCTAGTCAAAGTTGGTTTTCTTTTTGTCTATATTTTGATTCATACACTTAAAGAGCAAAAGCAAAACAAATCGTGGCGAAGCCGGGAATCCCAAAGTTGGCGTGGCGATGCTTGCACGTGTCGAATAAATCGCTACAGTTATTATACTTTTCTACAGGGGCGTATTGAGACATTTTCAAATGTTTAGAATGGTATAAAACATTTTTAATTTAATAAATAAAATTATCGAATATATCGGATATATATCAAGATATAAATATCATGATATATATAATGATATTAATGATATATATCACTTGATATATATCCTCCGAACCCTGGTTCTTTGCGCGTTTCCTCGCTTATGAGATGATTCACTCTTGCACAAATCTAAGATGACTCATTCACACTCTATCTAGGGGTGATCCACTAAGTTGCTTAAGAAGCTGTTTTGCACATAGATAGTAGATGTACTGTAAAGATAATTCGTGCCAAAAACGCAAAATGGCATTTTTAGACCAGTCTTGTTCTGGACCAGCGATATGAGGACCGTTTGTCCTTCTTGATGTCTAATTAGACGGCTGTCTGTCACAAATTTGTGATTTTTAGACTTTTGCATAATATTGCATCAAGAACCGTAACCTTTACTGCAAAAAAAGATCCAGGCCACATTTTGGTACCTAGCGTTATTTGTTAGCCAATGAACCAACAGACTAAATTGGTTAAGCATGTAACCTGCTGCAAAAGCCATTCAAGTGGCTTGGTTGCTAATAGAGAAGAGAGTTGGTGACAGTTTGTTATTTTGTTCTCTGTGAGAGTGAGTGTGAAGTATTAAAAAAAGGAAAACGAATATTTTTGTGATACAATATGAATGGTAATATTAGCATATCTCAAAGAATTCTTCGGATAACAAAATCTATTGGATAGGAGAAGCCCAAGAAATAGAAAAATGGATGTTGACAATAAAAAAGTTAGCTGTTTAAAAACACGTAAGATAAATACAAAAAAAATGATGCACTTAATTCCGAACGATTGCATGCAATTTTATGAACATATAACCGACACGAACATCGACGACAATATGGATGGATTCAGCGGAGCGCCTGATTTTGAACTGGCACCTATGATGGTAGAATAAATTAAAAAGATAATATGTATTTTTTACCTACTTTCTTTAACAATAAAGTATTTTTAACCAAACTGTGCTAAAATTTGTTTTACAGAAAGGAGCCGACCCACAAATACCAAAAAATCCAAGTATCTTCTTTATTAAATTTATAAGGCTAACGCCACATTAGACAGAGCTGAAGATCGGTTGAAATTACTACACAAAGATCTGCAGTCTATTTTCGGCAGCTGAACTTCTGCCTAATGTGACACAAATTGAGTGTGACTGCAGCGGTAAGTCGTGCTTCCAAAATGAGTGGGATCAGACAAAAAACTATTTATACCATCAAGAAAGAGGAGGAACAAAACAATGGCAAAGTGAAATCTCGTGCAAGAAGAAAAAAGCGGATAAGGCAGTAAAATTTTGTAGGATTTCCGATAAATCCATATTTAATATATTCCGCACTATACTGCCGTTTCTTCTTTTGTGGCTCTGACATGATCAGCACACTGCTTAAGTAAAAAAGAGCAAACAACTATTTATTTTGGAAGCACGTGTACCTTTAGAAAACTGATACTGATGCCGAAATGCTGATGAAAATAAAACAAAGCCACCCTACCCTGCCTTATAAACAGATTGGAAATGCAACTCGTACTGATAAGAGTTATCTCATGTACGAATTCGTACAAACAAATGACAGAAATCAAATCATGACTGGTGAAAGACTGCATAGAAGACCTGGTAGAGCTAAGTAGTCAAAACAAGGTGACCTCAGCCTGGGCGACAGGCCACGAAGGATATCAGGGCAACCAAAAAGGCCAACAAATTAGGCCAACAAATTAGCCCAAGGCTCAAATAAGGCCATGACAGCCCCCGAACCTTTCTGTGGAGTTGCTAAGGCGTTGTACAAGGCATCCATCAAACATTGGAAGCAAAAAGAGTCTCATAAACGGTGGAATAACTATCCAAGATTGAGACAGGCCAAACAGTTCCTCAAGGAACCATCGGTCAAGGTTACGAAAGAACTACTGGATCAAAAACGTCTAATCGTTTCGATAATGGTCTTTTTACTGCACACTGTCGCCTAAGAAGGCACATGAGTGTCATCAATCCAGCAGAAGAAGCAACTTTGTGCAAGTTCTGTGAAGAAGAGGAAACATCAATCCACGTCCTGTGCCAGTGTGAAGACTTGGCTAGATTGAGGTTTTTAACATTAGACGAAGAAAAGCCAAACGAATGCAATTACATGCAGGGGCCACTGTCAAAGCTACTAAGTCTAATAAAAAAAGACCAAACTAGACGACATACTTTAAAAAAATGGAGTCCCACAATAGATCTGAGAAGGTCGTGGTGGACAAGGACATATAATGTCCAACTCCTTTTAAATTTATTCTATTTTATTGAAGGATTGTCTGGTGTTCCTCAAGGATCCCATTGTGGTCCGCTTCTTTTTAACCTATTTGTGAATGACATTGCCTGTTGTATAAAAAAAGTCTCAGTTCCTACTATTTGCAAATGATCTGAAAATCTTTAAAATAGTTGAAAGAATATCAGATTGTTCCGATTTACAAACTGATATTACCAGCATTATGGTGTAATGTAAATTGTATGAATTTTAATTTAAGTTTAATATATGCCATACTAGACTATTCTTAATGTATCAATTCATTGGATCTTGAATTGGTGACCAAAATAAAGGACTAATATTTGATGAAAAACTTACTTTTCAGAACAGAAAACAATATCATTAAAAGCCAGAAAGTTGTTGGGTTATACGAGGGGTTATATACAAAGAATCTTTAATGGTCTCTCAATAAATTCTTTTAAAATTCCTTACTGCACTCTTGTTCGTTCTAATGTGGAATATACAGCTGTTGTTTGGAACCCTTATTATTACACTCACAATAATAAGTTAATAGAACATAAGTTCCTGAGATGTTCAGCATATAAATTAGAGGTGCGTGTAAATAATTACAATTATGATTATGCTGACCTACGTTCCAGATTAGAGATCACAACTTTGCAGAACTGGAGAACTCAATTATACTTCTTATTTAAGCTTTTGTCTGGACCAATATACTCTTCTAATATTTTATTAAAAATTGGTCTTAATTAATAGTGGAACCAGAGCTAATTAAACGTTTAATATTAGATACCATAGTAAATTAAGGCTTTTATAGTCCATTAACACGATTAGTTGGGAGTATATAAATAGACTTAAGATTTTTTTAGGTCTTCATATCCTTTATTCAAAAGAAGTATTATTAACCACTTTCTTAATGACACTTGAGAGTACTCTTACTGTCTGCCTTGTTAATCAAATGTTTTACATGTTATAATTTTTGTATGTTGTTCAACTTAGGTCCATATTTATAAACAAAACTCAGCTGAGTCGGACTTGGGTAAGTCGTCCTTGAATTAAAATCGAAGTTCGGTTATATCGCGTGAATTTAGAGATGGGTAGTAACAAATCCGTAAATGTACATGACAGTTACAGATTTGGTAATACCCATCTCTAAATTCCAGTCAAACACCAGAACCACCTAGAACGCTAAAGACGTTGTAACCGAACTTCGATTTTAGTTAGGATGACTTACCCAAGTCCGACTCAGGTAAGTTCTGTTTATAAATACGGACCTTAGTATTTGTACATAACATACATATTTTTTACTTGTTGTAAAATGAGAGTTTCCTGTAAATAAATAAACGTAGACTTGTAGTTTAGTGTCCTACTAAAGTGCTGCTCTTTCTGACAATCCGAATTGTTACATGGTTGCCAGGGTTATATAGTAATATTTCAAATCTAGGGAAAAGAAAATCAGAGATGCTGTCAAACCATAGAAATAGTATAGAAAGCCGATTCCATATATCAAAAATGAAACCATAAGGAGAAAATAGTGTGTCGGAGCTCATGCGTATAACGGTGCTGGCTCGAACAGGACCGGTGCAAGTTTTTTATTGATCGAACAAATAGTTCACACCATGTTTCATTCATACATTTTTAGAGATGATTCTATATAAAAAACGATGAAAAAAATTCAAGTAAGATAAATATGTTTCTGAAAGAAAAATATGGCATGAAAAATGAATTAGTTAATTTTCAGAAATCATTAGTGTTGCAGTCACGAGATTTTGCTTGTGATTTGACATCTTATTTGATTTAGTATCATTTGCTACAAGTAAATTTAATTTGAGTAGTGCAAAATAGGAGGCAGTTGCGTTTCGCCCAGGAATATTATGTTCGATATTTTTTTACATTTTGTCAGCCAAGACTGTAAGTCGTTACTTACAATTAGACAGAAAACCTTTCATGTTACCATTTTCAATAAAAATTATCTAAAGATGTCTGCATCTCTCAAGATTCAAAATTAAAAAATACTACTACATTTACTTGGTACTTGGTACATATTTTATTTTAATTTTGAACCCTTTTAAAAGGGTCTTTCGGTTTCATAATAAAAGTTAGTCGCTGCTTATTAGAAACATTCTATATAGTCTAAACCAACTTATGGATTGTTTTCGATCAATTTAATACAAAGATTTAAAGTTTTTAGTCGATGATAACATTCCACATCAGCACATTGCAAACCTATTTTATAGATAATAAGAATAAACTTGTAAATCATTAATTTGGTAGTTATCTCACTTATAATGATTTTTTTGTTTATATGACTCTTTTGATTTATAAATATATTTTGGCCTTACAATACGAAGCGTTTTGTATCTAATACTTTTTTTATTGAACGATGAATGTTGACAGGTGTGTATCTTTTTCGGAACAAGAGGCGCTTTAACGGCGGAAATGATTTTCGAACTATCCAGTTAGTTTTCGGAAAACTAGAAAATGTTTGAAGATAGTCGTCAATAACATTAGTATGTCGTTCATTTGTTTCTTTTTGATCAGTATTCATTCTAAATTGCATAGAATACTCTTCTTCCGATTAAAAATCGAGATTCTCGATATTTCCACAGTTTATTTATAATACTTTCTAGACTGGCTTTATCTATCATTTTATATTCTTCATAATATATGTTATCACCCTACTTTGCACTTTATTAACAATTTTTTTTAACATACTTGAAAATGGGAGGATATTCTCAATTCGTTAAAATATTTTTTTATGTATGTTGAGCGATAATTCTTTACCAAGTTGCCCGATTTCTATGATTCTCTTTTTGTTAGAAAATGAATAGTTCTATATAAATTTAGTCAAGATCTAAAGATGGGATCCATGAGAAAATCATTAACATCTTCATTTTTAAAGTAGGTTTTTTAAAATTTCTTTAAACCGTACTGGTTCGCACGCGGTAAAGAATGAAGAAATGTAAATAATTGTTGTGCCAGTCAAAAAGCGAAGAGGAAGTAACGATTAAAATATCGAGTGACAGAAGTTTCTAAGTTCGTTGAGATCGGGTTTATATTTTAAAATGCCTTAAAACCCGCATTTAAAAGTATATAATTTAATAGGGTTAATTTTCAGTTTCTACATTTGAAAATATACCCGATGCCAACTCAGCCAGTGATGCCATAAATGTTAGGTACAGGTAAAATTTAATACGGTTTATTTTAAAATTCTTTATTTTAAATTATACTCGACTGAAACTGTCTCTGACGTCATGAGCGTTGTGTAAAGGTATAAATTCAAAATAAGCAACATTTCATGTTCCATCGCTATCAGGAATAATAGAAGTGGCATCTCATTTAAAATAGAACAAAACTGTCAAAATATTTTAGATGGAAAGATCATAGCCTGTTTACTATTTTAACAATTTTTAACAAAAAATATACAGCTCTCTATTTACATAATTATAATTCTTAGGTTTAGATTTCCAGACATAAATCTTGTAATAAATATAACAGCTGCTAAATACATTGATTACATTTTCATTAGCCAATGTAAAAATGTCTTTTATTGTACCTAGGATTTAACTTAACACTACACAAAACTAAATGTCGTGAAATTAAATAATAAAATACAAATTCAAGCCAAACTATCACAAACGGTCCTGTAAGGGCAGCGTCATATAGCCTTGAAACACCGGATTAAAGTGGTGTTGCCAGGTCAATATTGAATTTGTAGGTGAATCGCTTGTTGTACATTAATACTGTATTTGTATATATTTTTGGAAATGTAATTACTCATAAATATTATTAGTTGATTATTTAAATGTTTATAAGGTATTTTGTGGCGATATTTCGTAGATATAAACTGATTAAATCATATAATTTAAAAATAAATTAATTTGAAATTCTTTTGTGTTAGGTATGTTTAATATACTTGACAACACTACAGGGACAAGTCATGCATACTGCACAAGCTTCTAGACACCCTATTTTGCGATGTCAGGCGCAGAGACGCGTTTTTATGCACAGTAGGTTTCAATTTCTGCTTGGATGTTATATTTATATTGGTCTTCTATATTATTTCTATGTGTCAAACATACATTTTCAAGGACAAGGAATTTTTTTTTTAAATAAATAAAAATATCCTTTATTTTAGACTATTTTGATGTATTACTTTTTCTGAAATATAGATTTTGTTTGTCCTCAAAATTAAGAGGAAAAAAAAGGCAAAACAAAAATGGACATATTGCAACACGGCAAGTGTAAAAATCAAATACTAAACGTCAGTTCAGAGTGGAGTGGATATGCACACTAATAGGACACTAAACTACAAGACTAACTAAATAAATTATTATTATTATAAGGTATATATTTACTTTACCTTGAACATGCTTCAACTACTTCATGTAGTAGCATGAGACATGCTGTAGATAACAAAGTTTCCACATTATCTTCCCTAATTTCTATGCACCCTGTGTAACAATAATTGACAACAGCTTGAAGAACATCACCACTGACATTTACTAATGTAATCTCTGTTTCATCATTATTGCTTAAACTCCCTGTAAACATGGCGGCAAAATATTCACTGGCAGCAGAAAGGACCAACCTAATTTTTTGTAACACAAATAATTAAAAATAATACTATTACTAATATTACACCAATTAATATTGTTATTAACAAGCACATTAGTTGTTAGCTTTTAAGGCATATAAGGATAATTTGGAATGACAGTTTTTTAGATAAAACAAATCCTTTGGTGTTCTAAAGGGCTAGGGACTTTAAAATTTGCCCTTTCTATATAAATATTATTGAATCTATTCAATTATTGCAGAAAAAAAGGGATGTAAATAAATAAAAACAAAAAATAGGAAGTTCTTGAAAATTTTACTTTGTTTTATAGTATACTTATTTCAAGCACAATTTCTGCAAAATGTGAAAAAAGTTAAGTTAAATATATACCTGTGTGCCTGTACTCTTTTTCCATTAGTACCAGCAATAAGTGTAACATCACATAACTTTCCTGCTTGTAAATAATTTTTCATACAAGTTAAACTATGCTCTGCATGTCCCTCACATCTAAAATGTTCTACCTGAGAGGACATTGATGTATTTAGTGACAAAGAAAATAAACTATAATCTCTTGGTGGAGAAACTAAAGAAGAACACAAAGACATAGAGACACTACCATCCCTTAGTGTACGAAAATCTATTGCTGACGGAGAAGCTGCGGAGCACAAAGACATTGATTCTCTACTACAATCACCACTATTCTGATTTCTATTATAGTCTCTGATATCTAAGACACAAAAATCTGCAGATAAATTATTTATACTTCCATCAAAACTGTTTTCTCTTGAATCTTTAGATAAATTATCTGCACTGCCAGTAGACATTATTTTTCATAAGTTTAATGTAGACTTATTGGTGATTTTTGCTTTGACTCGTATTTAAATACCAATTTTGAAGTCTTTGTATCGAAAAATTATCAAAAGGGCAAAGTGGTGAACTTGACTCGAGCAAAATTTAACAAATTTATTTGTTTATGTTTTCTAATTCTGTAATTCTATGCCAAAGTCACCATAGAACACTCACATAAACACTGACAGTCACACGTCACTCACTCTATGCAACAGTGTTGCCATGTTACATGAAAATTCTAAGCAGAAGCAAAATATATGGGACAGATGTGTCTGATGTGGATAAAAAAACGCTCGAGATGTAAAAAATGCATCCGATGTGGATTCTCAAACGTAGCATTATTTGCCAATGTCGTACCATAGAATTAGTAATTTTAAATAGTTAGGGGCGAAACCGGGCCATTATTCCTTTAGTGACCTGAATCAAGAATGTCTATTCCTTGATGATGAGTCCTAATAAGGACAAAACCGGTCCAAGAATAACGTTATCTATGGTAAGCAAGATCAAAGTTTGAATATTAAAATATGAATTTTTTTAAATTTGTTGTTTTCTTTGGATATAATTCAATGTCTGCTGCGGAAGTAGCCAAAGAAGTAAGTTGTTTTTTGAAGGGAAACGTTAAAGTTTGGATTTATTTCCCTTTTTTAATAAAATATTTGACTACATGTTTCTTATAATAGTTTTAAATTTACTCTATTCTTTAGTAGGAATATGCCCATAACCTCTTATTTTGATTGATGATTCTTAATGTATGCTCAAGTGCATGTCATAGTACTGTGGAACGATATTACAAATATATTTGAATTTCTTAGTTTTGTAGTTTTTATATGAAATAAAATACTTTCAAGATCTGAGCAATCAATATTCCCATGTAATAATTACATACAAAATTACAGTTTTTAATATGAAAGTTTTGTTTAAATCACGTGATTTCAGATTTATTTGCTACAAAATATATGACGGCCTTAGATTGTTGTATTCATTTCATATAAAATTGTATTTTAAATATATTCTGTTTTTATTTAATTTAAAATAAAGTTTCAAAAAAGACTGATGTTTTTTATTTTTATAAATCTCTTAAAATCCATAAAAAAAGAAAATTAAAATTCTATTACGAGTTTTTAAGGTTATTAGTTCTATTGTGTAAGTAAATCCTTAATATTTTCGAATTATGTTTAAATGTGTTAGCACAGCTTATACAATACAGCTAAAACACTCTCTTGGCGGCAACGGTTTGCGTCGATTTCGTCGCGCATCGCTTAAGCTCCGCCTTCGAAGGGAAAAGACGGTTTTGGCGTTCAGAAGCGTACTTAGGCAAGGTGTTGAGTCGTGCGTATAATTTCGTTGATTGTATAATTTCGTGGAGCCTATAATTTCGTTGATTTTGTTTGAGTTAAAGGTACTGTTATTATTTTGGTGACTCTTTAGCTGTGAGTAGAATGAGTTTATGCAGTCAAAAGCTGTTTTAATAAGGGTTATACCTGCAAGAAAACATTCTTTAGTTTTCCCAAGGACCCAAACCGATAAGTACTACATTATAAGAAATTTTCATTGTTAAAAATATAATTTATACAGGGTGTCTCATTAGTGAGTTATTGTTCATTATTTTGTTGTAGAAACGCAAGAAAGTTTTAAATAAAAGTTATATGGATTTGAAAAATACCTACATATTTTAAAAATATCTTTGGATATACAGGGTGTCACGTTTTTGCCTGGAAAATTAAAATGTATGTTTTTTAAATGGAACACCTTGTATTTTATTTTATGATGAAATTATTAACGCCCTAAATTATTGTAAAGACGAATTGCTACAGAAAATTTTTATCAGGTATGTGTGTGGTTACCTTTTAATAAAAGCCTTGCGGATCCACTCCTGCGATACCTGTCTTAAATATAACAAAGATCACGTTGAATTAGACGATTTTTCTTTTTATTGCTTTTAAAAGGCATATGATAACGCCAATTCAGATACATTTGGAAATCTGCAACTGTCAAATGATGAATTTGTAGAACTAATATTCAATATATTGAAAAGATATTTTAAAATAATTTTGAAGAATTGGCTACAAAAAATAACATTTGTACCACACTTTTAGAATGAATTAATTAACCCAATACCCTTTAGTCATCCATGCTAACGTTTTCCAAAAGAATAACTTATTTTATTGTATGTTTAATCTCAATAACTAAAAAATATACTGACAATTAGTTTGACAGAATTGTCATTTATTTAAAATTTTAAAAATAATAGCCGTCGGTTGATCAAAATATGAACGGTGATTGGCGAATTTATTTTTTTTGCAGTGTTCTCACTACCTAGAATGGATATGAAATATATTCGTTCAATTGAAGGCAATAGCATACTTTTTCGTTTTGTAATCTGTGCATGGATATTAGCCAATCTACGCACATACTACAAAACGAAAAATTATGTTATTGCGTTCAACTACGAATATATTTCATATCCATTTTAGGTAGTGAGAACACTTTAACAAAATTAAATCTACAAATCACAGTTCATATTTTGGTCACCCAACTCCTATTATTTAAAATTTTTTAAATAAGTGATAATTCTGTTAAACTAATTGTCAATATATATTTTAGTTATTGATATTAAATATACATTAAAATTTTTGTGTAGTCTCGATAAATAATAGCATTTTTGTTTTTATTATGTCCACATTTAAAAAAAAATAAATTTTAATCAAACTACATGATACTAATTTAATTACGAGTATTAAAACTAAAGTCCTGAAAGTTTCGGTGAAGATGAGGACAGAACATCTGCCTTCCATGCGAAAAGCCCGGGATCGAATCTAGGCCGAGGACTAATTAATTTTTCATGTTTATTTTATTTTATAAATTAGTCAACTTCGTAAATTATTTTAAAATTAGTTATTTTGTCTAAATAACCTAAAATAATTTTTTAAATTTGTAGATTTTCGTTAGTGGGTCGTAGAAAAAATATACTGACCATATCGAGTGGATTGTTCATATCACAATCAGACGATTGAGTACTCCGCCTACGACGTCGTGCTCAAACTTCGTCTTTGTGTGATATGGCTATCATATCCACCCTTGTTGAACAAACTACAATTTATTTGTTTTCTTGGTTTAAGTTTTACATCAGAAATAAGAACTAAATTAATTTACTTTTCAAGTTTTCTTGTAAAAATCGATATTACTTTCTCCAAGTACAAATTTAGTACCTACCTAAAATAAGTACTAATTATGTTATATCTTGTAATATTGTAATTCAAATTTCACATTACTATAAAGTTTTCCTACTTCGGTATGGTCAGATAAAAATTGAATATATTATATTAATAAAAACTGTCAAAGTATAACTTCTACAAATCTGTATTTCAAATAATAAGAATACATCTAAATATAACCAATATTGTTAAAACAAAAGCACACATTCTTTATAATTCCAAAATACCATAGAGTTCCCAGACCTCAGTCGAAGCATTCGTTTATCTAGGTATAAACCCTTTGCGCGAAGAGTAACACTTGCCAGAGACACGGGGGTACCACTTGATTTGCATCCACGAGCGTGACACAATTCTTTAACAATTGAAGCCCTTGGTGTAAAAAGGATCCAAGTCACAATTTGTCGTGAAGTGACTGTTTTAGCTCAAAACATTTGTTAACGAGGATTTTACTAGCCACATACAAATTATTTTACCTCTAATCCGAAAGATGTGCTATTTTTCGTAATATTTATATTTAAATAATTTTTTTAATTATATTTGACAGATTTAAAACAAATTAAAAATTTAATTTCCCAAAACTTACTTAACATGGCATGTAACCAATCTTATTACGTCAAGGTTTTCAATTTTTTCAATAATAAAAAAATTGCTTAATCCGGGCCCGACTTTTCCCTTTAATCTAACAGAGATAGCACCATTCCGTCTTGTATAAAGACCAATTAGGCATTCCAACGACCTGTCCAAATGGCTACCAGTGGGTAATGACAGTTTAGATATGGCAACCCTGTTGTCATGTTGTCATTAACAGGGTCAATGATACATATATAGTTATATAGATTGCTCAAAGCTGGTCGTTTACGAGCGGCCATATTGCCTGGCAAATATTTATTAATTTGAATCGGTTTAGCAAAAATGTGTTTTAAAACCAATTTTTAGCCTTTAGATATTTAAAAAAAAATAATTGCTTACATTTTTACTTCAAGGCATACGCTTATGTTTATTTTGAAAAATATGGATAATCAATCTATGTAACTATCTATTTCATTGACCTTGTCAAATCACCAGGCCTACAGGGTTGCCATAATTTTGCAATATCATAACCCGTCAAAACCCACTGGTAGCCATTCAGTTTGGAATGCCTAATACCTAATACAGTAGCGACAGATCATTTTTTATGAGGGGTCCATATTTTTCTGCGCATGTCCGAAAATAAGCGACAAAAACGTCAACGTCAATAGTGTCAATGCGATGTAAATATGTCATTATTTTTGTTTGTTTGTTTGCAGTGCATATTTTGAGACATTTTTATTATTTTAGTTTTTCATTTATTGTGTGATATTTTTGAAATGGCTTCTGCACCTGATCAGAAACGAAAGAGATGTGTCTATCGCCCTTGTCCATCTCAAACAGAGTAAACAGACAAAGGTACAAGTTATTTTGCATTTCCCATGGAGCCAGAAAGGTATGTCTTAAGAAAATACTTTCAATTTTTATATTTGAAAACCAAATATTTATTTGACAACCAAATATTTATTATTTAAATGTCTTGAGGACAATTTTTACAATTTCAACAAAAATAATGTAAAAAATATAATTTCTGAACTACCGTCAATCTAAACATTTGTTATCAACTTTTTTATATTTTAGGGCCAACATGTGGTTAAGAGCTTGTAATAGGGAAGATTTAAGTAACATAGATGTGAACAGTCTTCATCGGAATTACAGGTTGTGTGAGAAACATTTTGAGAAGAATTGTTTTTCTAAAACGTTGAACCGTAAACGTTTATTGCCTACTGCTGTTCCCACATTTTTTATCCATCTAGGTCATCAGCCAAATGTCTATCTTCTCCCTAGTACATCGACCAAGTGCTTCCTCTGTTGAGACTATCATTGAACATGAACGAGATATTTTTGAAAGCGTACCATGTGCAACCTTTGGACATTCTTAATCAAAAATCCTACCTCCAAATTATTATAATGAATTAGATGTTCTTTGATTCACTATGTCCATTGATTAAAAATGTTCTGATTGCATACATTGAAGAGATATTGTTGTTTCTATTTTGATAATACATGTGCCAGTCCCAAAAATATCCTTCGGTTGGGCCACAATTTTTAAACCAACCATTTGCAGATTAGTTAAATCTCAAGCGGAATTTAAAAACAAAAAGCCTCTAGCTAGAAGACATTCCAATGAATACAAGCAGTTTGCGCTTACCTTGTATTTTTTAGGACCTAGGGCCTTTGTCTAAAATTTTGTGCCTTTTGATGGGTAGGTATTTTTCATATTGATATTTTTATTAATCTGATTTTTGTAATATGTGTTTTTCGTATTTTGGTTTATTAAAATTAATAGTCAGTATGGGTTCGTGTTTTATTTATAACAACCTTTTTCCTACAGTACTTTTCTTCAAATCTCAATTAAATTCATAGTTCTAATAATTATGCATCTTAAAATGCAAATTTATGTATACAACAAATTCATATGATTTATAAACAAATCCTAAGTCGTCTGGAATTATGAAATACAGCTACGATGATGTGCCATAATATAAGTTTTCCAAAATAAAGTCCTAAGATGTATCATTGATGCACCCTGGCTCTATATATCTAAACGATTATCTTCATACAGACAAATAAGAAAAAGGTTACTGCAAAACACGTTAATGAAGTGCTGCAATTACTGGACAACTCTGCACAAAAGACTCGAAAGAAAAGCCATTTGAGCTAGTGCTAGTGTAAAACAGTGTAATAAATCGATACGCCAATTATTGGTGATGCTTTTCTACCAACGACTACTAGATTAATTTTGTTTACAAAAATGGAATTGTAAAAAATCACAGATTTATCCACCGAGTTGTCAAATTATTATAAGAGTATGGCGAAAGTCTTAATACAAGGATCGTTTATGGTATTATTGACATATGATAAGGTTCTAAAACACATAAAAGGCTTTCAAAATGACAGTTCGGAAGTATTTGCATTTTTAATGCCAGTTATTATCAGTTTAATCTATTTTTCTAGATCCAACTATAGTTGAAGGTGTTTTTCAGGAAAGTATACAATTAATTTATACATCAATAATTTGTAATAGAATCCCTCTGTTAAAGAGTTAATGTTATCTAAAAAAAACTGATGAATTAAGTACAACGAGCATTCGGTCTGGTTCCTCAAGTAAAAACTCTGTTTTAGTATAGCGATCAGTACAATTTACTTCAAAATAAATTATTGTGAAGCCTTATTTTTTCTAATTATATCACTAACCTTCAATTCAGAGAAGAAATAGTGGGTGTTGCTAAATAAGTTTGTTACATATATTTAAATCCTTTTCTCAGTGTATTATCCGAATTTATAAGAATCTTGGTAATTTTTACCAGTGTAACAACCGGCAAGAACGTCAACTGTCAGCGAGTGTCACTTTAAATTTTGGCCACCACAACATCAAACGTGCCGACGCAAGCCTTCGTGGTTATTCTGTGCCTACGTGCCCCTGATGAAAATGACATTTCCGATCTGTGGTCAGGAGTGCGTTTAGAAACCTCGCACGGCGCGTCTGACCACATTAGAATAAGGCCCAGACCGCCCAGACGCGCCGTGCGTGGTTTCTAAACGCACTCCAGTTGTTATCATGTCAGTGTCACATGTCATAATTGTCATATTCTTATTCGAATGTTTTTGACATTTATTGGAAATATGGAAATTGCAAGAGATTTTTAATAACATTACCCAGTATTAATATTATGCTAAATTTATCAAGATCAAAATGAATGCAGAAATTGAAGAAAATATTCGTAAAAAAATCCCTTGGCCTCAACTGCCTTCACATATCAAGCAGGTAATAAAATATTTTTATAGTGTGTCTAGTTTTTAGGAGTATTGAACTAGTTTAAATAATATTATATTTCAGATTTTAAGCAATTCCCCCAAAGAATACGATAGGTGCGTTGTGAACTTCAGTATAAAAAATCAGTTAAGATACCGTGGAAATTTGGGTAAGATAAATACTACATTTTAGATATTTTGTTTTTTGTAACTTGTTAATCTTTTTAGTAAGGCACATCTTTAGAGATGAGAAACGATATTATGAAAGAATCGTTGCTTACAGCAGAGAAAGGCTTATGCTATTCCCTTATCACCTAGCTGATATGATAGTAAAAGGACTTCGAATAACACCTTTTAACTATTACATTTCTGTAGTAGAAAGGTTGATTCAGGCTGAGAAGAGTTATGACACTTTGCCAAATTTTACTGCTGCTGACTGTAAGTTTGAAGCATTTTATAACAAAATAATTCTTGCAAGCTATGTATTAAGACTTAAATCTAATTCTGAATCCACAAGAAAGTCTCTCATTAATAAGCTATTGTTTAAAGGAATAATTGAAGCATTGGGTGGAAAAATAGCATATTTTGAGATATATGCAGACTTTTAAACATTGTGAATGGTGCTGTCACAAGATAATTCGAGTTACAGAATATTGATTTATGTAGGTTATAATTTCAATGTGTCTATTTTAGATGGGTTAGGAAAGAAAATGTTTATAACATCAAATATACATTAGGTAAAACCTGGGAGGCTGTAAAATTAAAAGAGAAAAATGGGACAAAAATTATAAAAGCCTGGCTGGATTATAATAAGTTGTCTTTGAATGTATCAAAAACAGTATACATAGCGTTCTCCCTAACCAATGCAAATAGGCCAAATTTTAAACAGATTTGCGTTGAGGAATCCAAATTCATTATCAAGGAAGTAGAAAATACAAAGTATTTCAGTATAACAGTAGATAAAAATTTAAAATGGACTTGTCACATACAATACTTAACAATCAACATTAGAAGATTTATACATAAATTCTATTTAATATGGAAATTCTAAACAAAAAGTTATTAATTTAATATATACCACTCTGATTGAATCTTTAATTAGATATGGCATAATTGTATGGAGTGGGTTATATGACAATGCACTACATCCTCTAAATATAATTTAGAACTGTCTTAACCTGGCTTTATTGGGCTTGACATATACTGCCTTTGATCATGGTGGACTGTATCGTATTATATTACCTGGGGGAGGCCTTATGCTCCACCCTGAAGCCTCTGGAAGATATTCTTGACGTTCTGGTTGAATCACTGGGTTTATTCAAATAAAACTATCACCCTATATTTGAATTGGATATATTCACTGCTTGCTAATTTCACATTTTACACATTTTTTAATTGGTTACATAAATCTGTTAAATCTATTGATCGATTACATATTAATTTTTCGTAAATCAACTCGCACAATGCTTGAAATTAATTTTACCGGTGAATGCCGGCTTTGTAAAAGTTTTTACGTGTTGGTGGTTTGACTGACAAAGCGAAAGTGATTCGTTTCGGTTTTACGTGCAAGCCTGCTAGCCCGCGTCGGGTTTACCGGCTTTTTTCTCATTGGTTGTCTTAAATCGTATGTTTGCGTACGAGATCATTACTTTTAGGAACTGTCGTATGATTGGGTGAAAAAATCTCGCGCGACTCAGTTTTAATTGTTTACGAAGACACAGGTGTCTGAAGGGTATTTGAAAGTTAACCGGTTTACTATTTCACAACTTTAGATAATTAGTTTATACAGGGAGTGTCTATCTAGTATTTTATTCTTTTTGTTTGCTAAAAGCGGAGGTTTATACAGGGAGTGTATATCTAGTATTTAGCAGATAGGACATGTTGAATGTAATTTCAACAAGAACTATATCTTAAAAATAATAAACCATAAAAATCTGTTGTTTTCAACAACCCTCTTATATAATGAGACAATATATCGGATATATATCCGATATATATCATTTTTAAAATTTAATTATTTAATTAAAAAATAGTATTGTTTCTTGCACAAACTATATTTTAAATTTTAACACAAACATATTAACAAAAACTTATATTCTAAACAACAAAACCGTTTATTCTAACTCAAATTAAAAAGAAAAACAAAAATAATTAATAAAATAAACATTATTTTATTAACATTAATATTTTAACACAAACACATATAAATCGCTAGTTATTATACTTTTATACAGGGGCGTATTGAGACATTTTCGGATGTTCAGAATAGTGGAAAACATTTTTAATGTAATAAATTAAATTATCGAATATATGGATATATATCAAGGTATAAATATCATGATATATATCATGATATATATCACTTGATATATATCCTCCGAACCCTGAATGTAATAGCATTATACTTTCACTCAAGCTGTGTGTTCTACTTCAAATTGAAAAATGAAAGTTTTGTAAACCACCCATATATGACTAGAATTCAAAAGAAAAGAATGCTAAACATACCTTTTTACAAATATGATGGAAATAAGAGATTAATTTCTGTAATAGGCCCAAAAATATACAACACTTTAACTGAAAACATTAGACAAATTAAAAATATAAAAACCTTCTCTAAAGCAGTAAAAAAAATTATAAGCAATAACTTCATACATCTCATTCACTCATAGAGCATCTAATGTTATCTTTATAACTTTTTTTTTTTTTTTTTTTTTTTTTTTTAATGGCACTGGATATAACCAAAAGGCCAGACTATTGTAGTAATCCATAAATCTTTAATTGTTTTATCCACTATTGTTACATGATTACATTATTATTATATTTTGACTTACATGTATTATTAACTTTATACCCTATTTTTCTTTTGCACATAAAGGTGTTTTGCACCTAGGTGCACCATTATAATATTAAATTTGTAAATTATTGTATTAGTTTATATTATGAATATTTTTTTGTTGTAAATGTAAATAAATGAAATTAAAATAAACCCTCAGCTCTAGCCAAGTCTAGGGCGTGATAGACAGAGTTGTTACTTAAATTCATTGTAACAGGTTCCAATTACTTATGCCAACTCTGGATAAAGGGTTAAAGGTTGTTCTGTGTTGTGGAAGCTAAAACAAAACTACATTACATGTTAACCTAGATGGTACACGAAATGTCAAAGACGATAATATATCGTTACAATTTATTTTACCCGTTAACGCTTTATGAAAAACAATAATTCATTAATACTATCAGGTAACCACCTTAAGCCAACCCTGTTCCGCTCGCCGTTGCAAGCCGCTTCTTCTTTGTTTGGATCCGCAGGACAGAAACAAACGCACTGCTTCGAGAAGCTACCAGAAAAAGCGTTTCGCGGCCGTTGAGTCATATATGATGACATTCCAGAATTTCTAGACGATTGAGAATGTTCTAGTGCAGAGCTGGCTTTATATAAATAGCGCGAGTTTGTCGAAAGACGTTAAGTTTCAATTGAAGTGCTGTATAGAAAAGATAAATTGTAATAAATAAATTAGAATTGTGAGTTATAATAGTGCCTAAGTATTATATAAATTAATTAATACGTTATAAATAAATTATAAATAAAGGGTTTTAAATAAGTAAAATAAATAAATTAAACAAACGTTACAATACATCATCTTATATATCAAAATTCTAGGTTTTAAAGTTTTACAATCGTTTCGTAGTCGTAAGCACCATGTGAGTAACCCATTCTGTGAGCACAAGTTCTCAGAAATCGATTTTGAACAGCTTCCAATCTTTGGATATGTACAGAATAATGAGGGGACTAAACAACATATTATGCATATTCATGTGTTGATCTAACGTAGGCCTAGAATAATGTTCTCAATGCTGCATTATTTAAGTCTTTAAAAAAACCAAGTAACTGTAGTGATTTTGAAATTTCGAGTTTATATGAGGAACAAAGGAAAGATTGCTATCAAATACAATACCTAAATCACGGATTTCTTGAACTCTTTGTATTGGATTATTATATACATTATAATCAAAGGTAGTTGTTGTTTTAAGCTTACAAAATGTCATACTGTAACATTTATTAGGGTTCAATAGCATGTCGTTATTTAGACACCAATTACATACTGTATCAATATCATTCTGTAGTAAAATACAATCTTCGAGTTTATTTACCTTAATATACAATTTAAGATCGTCAGCAAATAAGAGGAACTTACAGAACTTAATGTTGTCATATAAATCATTTACAAACAAATTAAATAACAGTGGACCCAAATGGGAGCCCTGTGGGACGCCAGATGAAACTCTGATTGCATATGAATGAAAGTTAATACATACAATTTGAGATCTGTCAAGCAAGTAACTTTCTAACCACTTATTTAAGTAAGGGGGAATATCAAAACGATTTAATTTAAAAAGTAATAAGTTTTTATTGACCCGATCAAAGGCTTTTGTAAAATCTAAATAAATTGCATCCAACTGCGAAAGCGATTCAAGGGTTGTAACGATATCGCAATGGTAAATTAATAAATTTTCCCTCCACAAATCCATGTTGATGACTTTTGATTAAATTTTTCCAATGCCAACATAAATAATGGATTTTCAAACAACTTCGGTATGGTAGACAGTATGGGAAATTGGACGATAGTTTTTGACATCGTTTTAGATCCACTTTTATGTATAGGGGTAGGGGTCACATAGCTGTTTTTCCAAACGGTTGGAAACGTCGATGATGACAATTATATATTAAATAATATTTGTAATGGAACACATAATGTTTATTGACAACGCTTTATGAAATATGGGGGAATTCTATCGGGACTAATATTAAATTTATCTTTGAAAGTACAAATACTATTAAATACTTCCTCTAATGTAAGCTTTATCAATGGAATTGAAATATTGGTATTAGTGTTACCAGAACTAGCAAATTGCTGCGATAGGATTTGATCTTTATTGCAATTAGCGCTAAAGAAATCAGCAAATAGATTTACAATTTCCTGACCATTATTTCCTTCTGCATTATTAAATTTAACAGACTCAGGGTTGTTATTAGTTTTCTTACGACTGTTTATGTAATTCCAAAAACAAGCGGAAATCGAAGGGAGCTGTTGGGTGATGTTGACCTTGTAATTGTCATAACATTGCTTTGATAATATTTTGCAGCAAGCACGCAAATTTGAAAAATGTAAGTAGTTTGCCTGTGACTTCAATGAGTTATATTTGATATGTGCCTTTTTCTTTTCTAAAATCAGCTGTTTGAGTTCATAGGGCAACCATCTTGGATAGGTGGAAAATTTACGTTTACGTAAAGGTACTAACAAATTGATGGCATTATTAATAATATTATAAAAGTTGTCCACAGCTTCATCTGCGTTACTGCATAAAATATGTTTCTAATTAATAGGACCAAGAAAGTTGTTGAGACCAATGTAATCAGCATTAATCTCTGAAATATTCATCATAAACTAACGGGTTATAGGACTCAACTCCAAAGTCCGCTACTAGGACTTTATGATGATAATAGTTTTCAAATATTAAGTCAAAACATTCATAAATAGTAATTGTTTCAAGATTATCAACAAAAACCAGATCTAAAAATTTTGTGATTATTAGATATAATATTAAAAGAAAAAAATGTAACAGTTGTAAATAAGTTAAATTAAATTATCTTAACTTATCTAGACACATCAAAATATAGCATACATGATTTAAGCTGGGACTTAAAGACTTTTTGATTATCAAAGCAGTCCAACCTATCAGAATATTGATTAGTAAATCTACCCTGATAGAAAAGAATTATGTCCGTAGTTAGTCCGATGTTGTTTAATATTGAAAGGCTGAATAAGCATTGTTTAGAAGGAACATGAATATTGATTTTTCCCAATAGCTCTAGACTAGAGCTGTAGGAGTGCAGTAGATTGTAGAATGTGGTAAGATCCTTGGGCATGCGTCTGATCTGAATAAATCTTAAAAATGTATGTTGAACTCTTTCAATGGCTTGAATATGAACATTGTAGGGGGGATCAGACACATGAACAGTAATCTAAATGGGGCCTCACAAGTAAACAAAACAATATTTTAATGGATGATACCTTTAAAAAATCCTTAGCGCAATGTTAAGCCTAGCATTTGAAGTGATTTTGAGACTGCCATTGATATATGGGGTATGTGAGATAGGTTGGAATCAAGGACTACACCCAAATCTTTAACTTGAGATACCGATTCCAAAGGTTAACCATTACTATTGTAGATTATTTGTTCTGTGGGACTTCTGTTACGACTGAAGACCATTTGATGGAATTTTTTAACATTAAGTTCCATTCCATTGATTCCACCCCAGTTGCTGAGACGTTCTAAACCAGCTTGCAGTTTTATGTAATCAGATTCGTTCTTTATTCTCATGTATAATTTTAAGTCATCTGCAAACATTAGGAATAGGGCAAAGACAAAACATATAAATTAAATAGAAGAGATGAGAAATAAATCCAAACTGTTGATTAATAAAAGAGTTTTTTAAACTAGCCGATAAATAGTCACAAACAAGGCAAATACTTTAGGAATACAACTCAATATACTGATGGGTCGATAGTTATCAACCTGTGAGTTATCTCCGGATCTCAGTATAGGAGTAATAAAGCTTGTTTTCTAATACGCTGGCAATGCCCCCTTTTTAAAGAAAGATTGAAGATATGAAAAAGGGGTCTGGAGAACAAAAAGCTACAGTGTTTAATAAGGGATGTTGGAAGACCGTCAGGGCCTGGCTCTCTGTTAATATCCAATTTTGATAGTTTTTCATAGATTGATGAGATAGATATGCAAAATTGTGATAGGTTAATGTCACCAGAAGGCAAAGTATTCTGCAAAATATAATCTTTATCACTATAAGTTTTAGAAAAATAATCAGCAAACAAATTGACAATCTCCATGCCAGAGGAACTACTGGTATTATTATTGCTGCATTAGCGACAGAAGGGGACACAATAGGTCGCAGTGTATTTACACCCAATTACCAACATAACATAGGTTCAGTAAAATGATAAAATATAAGAAGTATCCCGCAAAATTTGTCTCGCAAAATTACCTGAACCGGACTTTTTGCGTGAATGCTCCTCATATCTTATGAGATGGCATAATAATCATTTCTAGCCAATAATGCAAAAAACGTATTTAGTAGTTTAATGCTGTTTTTCCACCTAATGCTTCAATTGCTTATTTTCAAAATTTACAAAATTAAAATTATGACATGAGTTTTTTTCCTGAAACCTCACACACTTAGATCAATATTAAATTAAAAATCTTTTCAAAACCTGTAATATTCAGCTCTCTTAAAATTTGTTTTAAAATCTTAGCGAATTATAGCTTACAAATTGTCGACAAGAATGTGTTTTAAACAAATTATATTTTCTGTATAGATCAAAAAATAAATAAATCAACTAACTACCTACATCTAATTTAGTAATTCTCTGTATGTACTCATGAGGTTGAATAAAGATACTACTACTTATTAGTTTTTATTTTTTTGTCACAAATTAAATAAAAGTTTTGTGGTTCTAATAAGTAATCATTTTAATACGTTGAAGACCGCATTGAAAAATCTTATTTCTCACATAGGGACCGGCATTTTTTTTATTGTTAATTACGTATATTATTTTTTAAATATGTTTTTAGTGCACAATAATTTGAGGTAGACATTATTTAACCCCTAGATTTATTTCAATTAAAGTGCCCACGGGTGATTACCCGGTCCCAACGTGTAAATTTACTTTCGTAAACCGCATGCCCACCGGTGAGTCAGTTTGTCTTGCACATTCTAGCTTTGACGAAACTAAATAAGTTGTAGCACAAATATTGAATATAATATATATTAAAAGTTGTGTTCTAAATGATTTTTTATTTTACCTTGAAAATCTTAAAAACTTGAAAATTGAATTTAAATCATGCCCACCGGTGTACAAGCGGTCCCCAGGAAGGTAAAACATTTCGTGTGCCCACTCGTGAGCACGCGGGCCGGTGATGTTGTTGCGGAGTGATCCACCGGTGGGCATGCGGTCTTTAACGTGTTAAATTATGTTTATAGGTTTAAGATTGTTGGGAATAGGAAGAAATGAATATATAGAATTAATGAATAAGTCTAGATCAAATAAGGGAAAGTTGTTTGGAAGAAAAAATGTACGAGTACTTCTGCCCATGGTACCTTGTGATATATACATGCAACCATGGTGGAGAGTTGAGGTTGGACTAGTTCTTGAAGATGATATAAAAGTAAGTTATTTATGATTTTTTTGCTAAAATAATGAGAAATTGGTGCATAGTGATATCATTCAGGATGGTTTTAATTAAAAATAATATAATTTAAAATTACTTCAAACTTGCACCAAGGAACTCTATAAAACATTAATCTTATATTTAATATTACTATGATATTTTAACCATTAAAAGTCCGATATTTTAAATTGGCTGTGTGCTTGAAATAGGGATACCTATACCAAGGTAAAATATTTATTTTAAATTTTGTGGTCTCTCATTCTAAATAAAAAAGGAATTAATTCCAAACTCAAATGTGACCGAGATGTAAAATATTTTCTACCTCTGCTTTTTTCTTTTGATGTAATTCAATACCTGGTGAGGTATTAGCCCATGGAATAGTTGTTGTCAAAAGAGAAACAGCCGCGCACATATTGTGACTATGGTTTTGAGATTTGTTTGATGTATTCTCATTCATTCAATAAAACTGCCAACTGAAAAAAAATTACAAATATTCTCTATGTTTAATTAAACTTTTTGGTTACATTTAAGAGATAATGATGAAAATATCGCACCCTTGCTTCAAAAGTGACACAACTCAAAATTCACATCTTTTGAGTTAATGCAATGAATGTGAATAATAAACAACCACACGTCAATCATCAAAATTGTTTGATTTAGAGAAAAGACTCTTCTAGATATGGCGCCTGTGTCATTTTTTAGGTTTTAGTTCCTAATTTTGATGTAGAGTTGCATTTATAAGTATTAACTCAAAAGAGGTGAATTTCGAGTTGTGTCATTTTTGAAGCAAGGGTGCGAAATGTACACCACAGGGGAAATTGGCTAAACCAATTAATTAATACTCTTGGGAAAATACTTTCAGCCAGTTGCAAGAACGTTTATTAACATTTTTGACCCTGATAAACTTGGGCAGAGCTTGAGAATGTTGTTTTGTTCTAAATGATATGGACTACAAATTACTTACAGTCTAAATGTCAGAGTTTATTATGCTGGCTTTTAATGAAGTTGCAATTGACTGTACCATTTTTTTAAATTGTGTACAGAGTGTCCCCAAATTCCATGTACATAGAGCTACTCTATGTTGGTGAGATCAAAATAAGTCGATTGAGCCAAAATTACCTATCTCACAAAGTGCTTCGTTTACCTGTGAGGAAGCTTAAAAGTTGAAAGAATTTTTTTTTAATAACTTTGATCGATTTTTATAAAATTTGGTATGTAACTATTTTAATTAAATAGCCATTGTTCAAAGCAAAAATTACACCAATTGATATCACGGAAGGATAAAAACCACCCTAAGCCTACCATAAATGACATCATTTTTGAGGACGGGCGCTGTTCCCTCAATTTTTTTAAATGAAGAGATGTTTCTCTCATGGTATTTGATTAGAAAAATTTATGGACTGATCTGTATCTGTAACGTGTGGAGGGTGGGTTACCCCCACGGCACTTAGGCCTCATTAGGCCCATTGTGCATCCTCCTGAGATGATAGGCACCTCCTAGCTCGTGAGCCAGCCTACAGATTTTATGTAGTTGACAACGTCGCCAAGAGGTGCTTCTCTTATATCGGCCGGTGTTAGCCGATACTCGCCGAACACAAAACTTCTAATAAATGAGAGCGTCGGGCAATCGTACAGTATATGCTCGATGATCTCATCTTCTTCGCACTCTCTGCAGAGTGCGAATTCTGACAGCCCCATGATATGGAGATGCTTTCGTACTTGGCAGTGACCAGTCAGAATGCCTGTGACTAGGCGCAGATTCTGTCTAGTCATAGTCAAGTATTTGTTTGCTGCAGTGTTGTCAGGATAACTTAAGAGCTCCCTGGTAACTCTGCAGTTTCTTGTTTCATCCTATCTTTCCTTGAATTTCACAAGGGAATATTCTTTGATTAGGTCTGTCACTACCGATTTTGTCAGGCCAATAGAAGGGCCAGGTCCAAAAGTATTTGGTTGGCTGCTTTCTTGGCTAGTGAATCAGCAAGACGGTTACCTTTCGATGTGACGTGACCTTTGATCCATCTTAAGGTGACCCCACATTGTTGATGGATACTTCGGCCAAAGCTTCATGACATTGTAGTACTAACCCTGATTAAATTCGTGGTCTGTTCAGGGTGAGTAGTGCTTGTCTGCTATCTGTATAGATGAGCATGTCCCTTCCAGTGATATTGTTTCTGCTATGAGAATACCCGTTAGCTCTATTTGAACTACACTGGCACTATTGCTCACAGCCCATTTTATGTTTAGGTTTAAGAATCTGGAGTATATTCCACATCTTGAGCCTTGTTTTGTTTTAGAACCGTCGGTGTAGATATGAATCGTACCTGCCACTTCCGGCTCTTCTATTTGTTCTATTATAACTTTATATGGCTTATGGAAGATATATCTCGGAGAGATGAAGTGCATGTTAGCTTGAAGCAGTGGGAGCGTATCGAGCGCCTCCTGCCAAAAGCGACGTCTCGCCTCACCAGATCCTACATTAGGTTCTATTCCAACCGTGCGGAGGCGTGTCATTGTCGTCAGAGCAACCTCCTTGATGTAAATATCAAGGAGAGTGAGACTGAGAATGACTTCCATGGCCCTGATCGGTGTTGTTTTCATGGCTCCTGCTATGTTGAGACATGCTGTTCTTTGAATTTGTTCTAGTTTACGGACAGCTGTTAATTTTTGGGTTTTCGGTACCCAGACAACTGCACGGTATGTTAGCATAGGTCTTATGATAGCCGTGTAAGTCCATGCGACGATTCTGGGGGAGAAACCCCAGGTGCGCCCCACGGTTCGGCGGCATTGTTCATAAGCAATGTATGCTCTTTTAACTCTATTTTTTAAATGCGTGTTCCATGTTAACTTGCTGTCAAAGGTGAGACCTAGGTACTTCACCTCTGTTGCAAAGTTTAGTTTTGTGTTTAGGAGTTCTGGAGGTTTTAATTCCATTTTCATCCTTTTCCTTGTGAAAAGGACCATTTCTGTCTTCTTAGGATTGATAGACAGTAAATGGTCCTTGCACCACTGTTCGATAATTTTTAGAGCTACTTGCATTCGTTCGCAGAGTATGTTCTCAAAATTCCCTGTTTGCAGAATGACTAGATCATCTGCATATGCTATTGTGTAGTGACAAAAAATGCTTCAAATTAATACAGCTCTCTATTAAAAAACATTGAGGGAATAGGGGTGGCCCTCAAAAAACATGATGTCAGGCTTAGGGTGGTTTTTACCCTTCCGTGATATCAGTTGGTGTAATTTTTGCTTTGAACAATAGCTCTTTAATTAAAATAGCTACACACCAAATTTTATAAAAATCGAATAAAGCTTTTTTTTTTCTTTTTTGAGGCTTCCTCACAGGCAAACGAAGCACTTTTTGATATAGGTAATTTTGGCCCAATCGACTTATTTTGATCTCACCAACATACAGTAGCTCTATGTACAGGAAATTTTGGGACACCCTGTATATGTAATTTAATATCTGACAAACATTATTAGTTAGTTTGTTTTTATATTTATAGATGGTAAATGAAGAAGAATTATCCATTATTGACAAATTAATAGACCTAGGATCTCAAAACGCTGGAAATTTACCTTATTCTATTGTGATCAGTCTATACAAGTGAGTAAATATTTACAAAATTTGTTATTTTTAAAACTGGGGATCAAGGGAAGGGTGAAAATAGCATGAATATAAATCTAAAATTGTTTCATTAGGTGATTTAAACAACTTAATAAACATCATATCTGAAGAGATGCAAGTTTCAGTTCAATGAAGATTTGAAATACTTCGGAGACAGTAATGTTAAATATTCCAATCATTTTTACATATTTAAGAAACAATTTTATATTAAAAATGTATGTATTTTATGTTTTAATTTCGGATTCCGTACCATGCTATATGCATATACAGAGTGTTTCAGTTTTTTGTAACACTTGATAGAACTTTTAATGCGAGAGTTTAATTGCATTTTATTTTAGTTCCAAATTAATTTGAAAAAATAAAAGTTAAAGAGCTAAGATTTGGTAGACATTTTTTAAATAAATCGAAGCAGTTGCTTACGCTAATATCAATAATGCACCTTTAAAAAAAATAAATTATTATTTTTTTATGGAGACAAGCAAATAGTCTATTAAAAACCAGTTACAATTACGTTGATGTGTAATAACGAAGAAAATTGAGAAATAAAATACAAGCCGAAATTTCAAATAATATACGCAGTAATACCATTGTCTACCTTCTTTACCGATGATTTTAGTTCACGCATTCGTTGATAGGTCTAAGAACAAGCCAGTCGACGTGTTCCCATCACGGATTTCAAACATTCTAGTTGGAATATAATTTTAAATATTTAAAGCTAAACAGAAGATGAAATCTCTACCTATTCAAGAGTACCTGTAATTAAAATAATGGCAACATTGACTAATCACTTTACACTCTGTATGTATTTGTGACTACATCGTATTTTAGATTTTCTTGTTTTATTTCATGGAGCCCTAAAGCCATTTGGTATAATTTTCTTAACTGCTCGAGAAAAATTAGAATTATTATTAATTAAGATTAGGATTTGTATTTAAAGGGACCAACTTTTTTTAAATATGATTCATTTAAAAAATATTAATAACGTCATAGTTTTGTGAAATAGATAACACACTGCATAAATGGCTCAAATGGCATAAATGGAGCTGTAAAGTCATTTGGTATAATTTTCTTAAAACTGTTCGAGAAAAAATAGAATTATTAATTAAGATTTGCATTTAAAGGGACTAACTTTTTTAATATAAAATATCAATTGTTACATTTAAAAAAAATATTACTATCATAGTTTCGAGAAATAGATAACACACTGCATAAATGGCTTTAAAAGAAGAATTTACTTACGACCTGTCAAACAATAGTTGCTAGTGAACAGGGCTCTTATATCTAAGGGGGTTGCGACATAGTCTTCCATCTTGGACGCTATTTTTACTCAAAATAGTAGTCGCAAAGCCTGTCAATTTATGAAAAATGTATAAGTACTTTTTTTAATATTTAATTTAACTTATATTTTTTTCTTTTACAATTCATTGACAAATGTGAATACACATTGTGAACATAAGACAAATGTGAATATAAAAGTCAGTATTATTATAATAAAATTAAACAGTATGCATAATAAAAAAAATTAAACAAAAAATGATTACATCGAGACCTGAATCCACACGACTTCTGGTTTGAAAAGTCAATGCCTTATCCACAAACCACATTCGCTAGATGCATTTGTTTGCGAGACGGTATAAAAACGATGCGAATGCCAAAGTCGAACGAGTTTAGTAGTTTGTGCAATAAGAGTGGATATGGACAATACACTCGAGTTGTACAGTATATTTTCTCTACGACGCACTAACGAAAATCTACAAATTTATAAAATTGTTTTAGGTTTTTAAGACAAAATAACTAATTTTAAAATAATTTATGACTTTAACTAATTTATAAAATAAACATGCAAAAGATTTAATTTAATTAATTAAATTAGTTTTATATAGGTAATTCGATTAAAATTTAGGATTTATTGGTAAATGTGGACAAAATAAAAAGAAATGCTGTTATTTATAGATTCTACACAAAAATAACTTATTTTTACGTATATTTAATCTCAATAACTAAAAAATATACTGAAAATTAGTTTGACAGAATTGTCACTCATAAAATTTAAAAAATAATAATAGCCGGGTGGCCAAAATATGAACTGTGATTGGTTTATTTAATATTTTTGCTGCGTTGATACTAGGTAAAATGGATATGAAATACTCGTATATTCGTTAAGGTGAATACAGCACCCTTTATAAGTTTTAATTCCTTCCAATTACCGAGAAAAAAAATCGAAGGGCTTTAAATTTTGAAATATAATGAAAATAAATGCATTCCACAACACTATTCTTAATATATTCCCCAAATTTAAGCTCTTAATGTCTTGTTAATGATTTTTTAAAATTCGCTAAACTTAGTGACTAAAGCGCTTGTTAAATTATATCTTCTGGTGTAAGGCGCCTGTAACTATAGTATCGTACACTCTCAGTCATCATTCGTTTCTTGCAACGATTTACACTAGTTTACATTAGAAGATAGCACTTATCGAGGCGTTTTAATAACTAATTTTAGCGAATTTTAAAAAATCATTAACATGACATTAAGAGCTTAAATTTGGGGATTTTTTTTGTGTCATCGGCTTCAATTACTAGGGTTATTTCGCCTCGTGTTCTGTGTAGGCTTTGTTATTGTTTCCCGGCTCCACTTTAGGAACAGCACTGTTAATTAGAACCCAACAGTAAATGGTCATTATATTAAGAGTAGTGCTATTAAGGAATGCATTTATTTTCATTATCATATTTCAAAATTTAAAGTCCTTTGATTTTTTTTCTCGGAAATTGAAAAGTTAAAACTTTAAAATATTTGCATATTCTAGATATTATCAAATTTATTTTGCCAAAATTTTAAATTTTTAAAAAAATTACTTTTTGAGATATCCTTGTCCGAAAATTATAAGGGGTGCTGTAATCACCTTAAGTTGAACTATCGTAGACAAGAGATTATCATCATGTCCGATAGCCAAGCAGCAATCAAAGCGCTGAGCTCTTACGTAATCAGCTGAAAAATGGTCTGGAGATACCTAGAACAATGGAATGAGCTAGGCGAGAACAATAGAGTTACTCTAACTTGGGTCCCGGGACATAACGGGGTACAGGGTAACGAGATTGCAGATAGTCTCGCAAGGAAAAGGACTCAAACACCCTTTGTGGGATCTGAGCCGTTCTGAGGTATCAGCAGTAACATAATATTAGGAGAGATTTAAAAAGAATTGGGCAGTAGAAGAACCGATAATTGGAACAATCTCTTGGGGCTGAGACAGGCTAAGATACTTCTGGGTAAAGATAACCAGAAAAGATCGGAAGCCTGCATCTGCCTGAGCAAGAACAGGCTACGTATTGTAATATGGATCCTTACTGGGCATTGCCAACTAAAAGGACACCTTAGTAAACTGAGAGTAGTAGAAGATAGTGAGTGCAGATTCTGTGAGGAGGAGGACGAAACCTCCATTCACATTCTAACTGAATGTGTAGCACTCCAGAATCCAAGGGCACTATACCTAGGACCATATCAAATAGAAGAGGGAGATTTACCTAACTTGAAGCCACTCCAAATCCTACACTTCCTTGAGAAGATAGGATTCGAAGGGTCGTTATAGGCATTGAGACATTTCCTTGCTGCATTAGTGACAGAAGGGTGCACAATAGATTTTTTAGGTCGCAGTGTATTAACACCCCATTTCCAACATAACATAACATAAACCAATTATTTAAGTCAGTGATGTTAAAGAGAAATAAATGATAAGTTTACGCGAACGTTTAAGAGATGAGTTTTCGTACGAAAGGTTTGAGGTTCAAAATTCGTTTTTTTTTTCAAGTTTATTTTATAATTTGATACAATTCGGAAATTCAAATCTTTGTGTTAATTATTTTTAAAATAGTAATTTTATGTTAATAACCTCTAAATTACTTTTTAAGACGTTGTAAATTTCTTTAGTGATTCGTAGAAATATACTACTATGCAATACTATACAATTCGAGTGATTTACCTACGATATCGCCATGAATATTTTATCGAAATTTTGTAGATCGTATGTTTTGAAAATAACTTACGTTTTCCAATAAAAAATTACCTATGTACAAAAACAAATGTAGTATTCTCTAATCAGTCCCTTTATTATTTATTATTGTTTTTGAAATTGTAGGTGTTCGTTTTTGGATCTATTTCCCTTATTTCTGAAATAACATTTGCATTATTTTTGAAATTTCCTGTCAATCGTACCTATTTTTGTTTATACAAAAAAAGGCAAACATAATATCGGAAGTTTAATACAACTTGTCATCAATGGTTTATATCCACTCAACGCTTTGACCCTTTGACCTGACTTTCGTTTTGAGTAAAATACTTTATTAAACAGTAATTGAACGTGGTTGTTTTCCAAGATATGTAAAACAACTGGGTTTTTCCAAATCTTATAATTTGCAACAAACTATAACGGTTCTCAGTTATGATTTGGTCAGTTTTGAATGCCCGCCTTAAAAATAATTTCAATTATACAGTGTTCTCCAAAAAAGTGATACATATCAAAGTAAGGTGTTTTTAAATGGTACCCTGTATTTTAATTTATTTTTAAATTTCCCCCGCTTTTCCCATTATAACAATATCAAATAGTATGATTATACAGGGTATTTCCCACCCTACAACCAGTTTTATATGAAAATTGAATTGATTTCAATGACCTATACCGGGTGTTCAAATTAAAGTGTTACAGCTAAATACCGCCTTTTATAAAAAAAAAAACGTTTCAGACGAAAGTTTTGTGGGGAAAAAATTTTGGCTAAAATCATTTTTTATAGCTAACCATAATATGGCTAACTTTTTTTCGCCCAGCAAAACTTTCAAGTAGCTGTTACTCAAAAAGTAAAAGTCCAATAAAAAAAATATTTCCATCAAAAGGTTCTTATTTTTTTATGTACTTTTAAGAATATGTAAAAATAAAATGGTATTCCCATTTAAAAAAACAAAGTCCACCTCGATATGGCCATATTATGGTC